CTCCCCAGGGCTTGTGTCCCCCCCTCCCTCCTCGGGCTGGCGCTGGCCCTGCGGGTATTCAGCAGTTGGTGCTGGGCAGAGGAGCTATTTTGGATGAGCCGAGTCTGCTTCTGTCGCTTCTGAGAGATGCTGGTGGAGGAAACCCCGCTGGAGGTTTCTCTTCCTCTCTCTGTGAAGCCCCCGTCTTCACCTTTCCCGTCAGACTGCCCAGGTTTGCATAACGCGCTTCGCTTGCTGGCTGCTCATTCTGTCTGCCCTCTGCTCCTTGTCTGTGACAGATATCAACCTTAACTCTCCCAACAAAGGTCTGCTGTCGGATGCCATGACAGATGTTCCCGTGGATAGCGCGGCTGCGGCCAGGACCCCTGCGCCCGAGGGGCTGACTCTTGCTGAAGAGGAGGAGTTGAGATCTGAACTTGCCAAGGTAATGGGGCGCTGGTGTTTGTCAGCGGCCACAGATGTGTTCTGCTGGGGAGGAACAAACAGGAGCTGCACGAGGAGGACTTGTTTTTTGTTGGGTTTTTTTTTGTTGTTTTGTTTTTGGTTTGGTTTTTTTTTTAATTTTGCAGTGATGTTACCTTTGGATCTCTCAGCTAATTGTTAAAATGCACAAAGCTGGCAGATACTTCAAACACTGTGGTATGTTGCCTGCACTTTCCCAGAACTACTTAATTTAGAGCTCTAAGGAAATAAGTGGCTTTTGATGCCATGAGCTTAATCTAAGCTTTTAGCTCCATTTGAAGCGAGAAAACACTTTAGGCAAGTGGTATGCAAAAGAAACTTGGTTTTCCTTAGGAAGCTGAAACAATGGAGCACTTAACGTGTTTTCTTTTTCTACCTTTTTCTCTTAAATAGCTATTGCGCTTTATAGACAACTCGTTTTGGTGCCTACATGCTTTTGAAGAGCTGAGAGTTTGTAATGTAATATCCTAAATTTGGGGCGCCTTTGGGGGTTAAAGGTCAGTTTGTAACTTCCATCTGAAATGCAGCTGAAGATAATTGCAGCTGTATTTCTGTAGTCTTCTCTTTCATTTGAGAATCTTGTGGGCATTCTTTGACTTGCAAGTTTTAGCAAGGGAGGACTTTGCTGCTCTGCGTCATCATGCAGATTTTGGTGAACTGCAGTATGAAGTAGAAATGAACCGTCTCTGGAAACAACTTGAGTAGTTTGAAAAGCTTGTAAGAAAGATCTCTGAGGAAGAACTCTTTGCTTTAATGACATCAGAGTAAAAGAATCATAAGATAGAAACCTTAGTTAATAAGGTTTGGCAACTGATTTTTATCTACAGTTGAAATTAAGACGCTAGAAATGAGCTCTGTTAATCCTGGTGCCATTAAGTCGGCAGTTCAGTACTTATATGGATATTTTCCCAATTGAAGTCTGAGCTGTAAGGCCTCCAATTCCAGCACTGTTCATGTTTGGTTAAATTGTTCTGCGTGTACCTGACGTTCCTACCAATACTTTAAATTCATGTTAATTCAATCTTGCTAGTTTTGAGGGAGTTAGAAAGTTGGCTTAATTTTCAGAATTGTGCTGAACTGGGATTTAAGGCAAACCTCTCCCTCTCTCTAAGGTTGAAGAAGAAATTGGTACTCTCAGGCAAGTTCTGGCTGCTAAAGAGAGGCACTGTGGAGAACTGAAGAGGAAGCTAGGTTTGACTCCTTTGGATGGGTTAAAGCAAAACCTGTCTAAAAGCTGGCATGATGTCCAAGTCTCCAATGCGTAAGTGTTACTTCTGTTGCACGTTTCACATTTAAATATGACTCTACAGTAATTATTCCCCAGCAGTGTATTCCAGGGCATTTCCAAGTGGCTGGAGGCTTTTGCTCTGATGGTTATATAGAGTAAAAGGCACTCAAAACTACTCATTTCATTGCTCTCGTGCGTCTTTATGTCAGCATAAACAGAACTTTCCTATCTCTGGTCTGGATAAATTGTTGCTGGATGCTCTTTCCCATGATGTTGGATATCTAGATCACCACTTAAAAGTGCAGTTTGCCCATTTCTGCACGTTCTTGGAGACATAGGCAGCTGCTACCTTGTTCTGAACTCAGGCTCAAAGAGAAGTGCAAGAAGTTTCAAAGCTCTGCTGCATTGCAGTAGTTCAGAAGCTATTTCCTGAGCTGTATAGCTTGAATTAAAAAGTCTGCACTTCCTAGGAAAAAATTCTGTCACGTTAGTGTGCATTATGCGTAATCGTTTCTGCCTAAAGAAGATCTGAAATTAGACTGACTGTTCCTGAACAGGCATTAAGGGCATGGTCACTGCGGTGCTTCACAGTACCAAAAGGAGAGTCAAAGAGTGAAGTTTGACCCTGCAGCTGTGCCTGGATGTACAGGACTCTTGGTGCCCACAGAGAGATCGTTTAGTCTAAAAAGTCTCATATAACTTAACTGGGACTTGGAGTTACTGACAGTGCTGCTGCAAAGCAGATTGTTGAGCTGTTCATCTCACTGTTTAGTCTTTCCCTTGTCTTCCCTCCTACACCCCTGCCTGATTTCTGTTATTCCTTTTAACTGAAATCTGTGTCGTTGTCTTCTAAGCAATGAATATTGAAGTTATATTCATTAACACTTTCTGTTTCTAGTTATGTGAGAACATCTGAGAAACTTGGAGAGTGGAATGACAAAGTGACACAGTCTGACTTGTGAGTGCCTCGGGCTCCTCAGCAACACCTCCTTGCTCCTTGCTGTGTTCCCCGATTTGTGCTGCTACTTGTTCTCACAGGCATCAGGGGTTGACTGGGAGCTGCAGGCGTGGTGAAGCAGGACTGTTATTAGCAGTGTGCCTGGCTTCCAGCTATAAGCATCCCTCAGTTGCGGAGGAGATGAGTAAAAGTTACTGCTGTCGTCTCTCTTGTAGTTTTGCTATTGCAGAATAAAAATTCCAATCAGTTACCAGACCACATTTTTATCCAAAAAAAAAAAAAAGAAAATTTGCAAAAAATCAACCACAGTTTCCCTTTAGCTGGGTATTGGTAGGTGAGTCTATTATTGGATGTCTTATTAGTGAACCTCTATCTTTACTGTGAAACTATTTCTCTTCTCATCAGCAGATGTGGTAGGAATCAGTTTGATTATCACCCTTCTGTACAGCCACAGGGGAGAGAGAGTGCCTGAAGGCATTTACCTGTAGCTGGAAATAGGAGCTGCGCAAATACAAATACATATATTAGCTTTTGAAAGCCACCACAAAGTAGCTCTTCTGCATTGATGTATGTGAACCTTTTTGATGATGTCAACACTAGAAAGCTGTGAATTTTAGTCTTTGCAGTATATAGGAGCAGGTGACAAATGCGGACAAAGAACATCTGGCTGCTTTTGTCTCTAGAATACATTCTTTAATCATATTCGACCTCCATTCATATTAGACATGAATCAGTTTGATCCCTGCTGCATAGCTGAATGTAAAGGAGACTTGAATGTTTTCTGCACTGAAGATTCTCTCCCTTCTACGTCTTGTATTGAAGGAGATTATTATTTAGCTAAGAGGAAAATGTGGGTTGGAAATATCTCATCTGTAGGCGAGATGGCACTGATCTAATTGGGGAGAGTTACGCTTCTGGGTGATGGGAGCTGCCTGCGAAATGTCACCTCCTCTGAGCACTCCTGTATTTTGTCTGAGCTGGTAGCAGACGCTTTCTGTAGTACTTGTTTTTGTTCTGTACCTGCAGTATTAATTCTCACAACCCCTAAGGTACTGTTTTCTATGGAGGGAAACACGATTTCTAAAGATCAGAAAATGAAACTAAGTTTAACGGTTTATCCAGGTCATGCTATAGTGGTAAAATATAGCTTTGGGTGTGACTGATTTTTTTTTTTTTTTTTTTTTTTATTTTTTTAGCCTTAAGCTCAGTTCACTGCTCTGTGCTCTTAGTATATAGCTGCCATGCAGCATGTAGGAAGGTAACACAAGATGCAAAGGATGTCAATTCTTGACACCTCTAAACTGCAGGCTTTGTTTCTTTGTGCTCAGTGTTTGAACGTGCTTAAATAAGAAAGAGCCCAGGGCTTTTGGTGTCTTCCCCCTCTCAAACAGCAGCTCTTTTCCTTCTGACTGTAACAGAGAAGGGGGGGAAAGCTGTTGTCAGAGAAACAAAACCTATGATACTGTAAGTGTAAAAGGATGATAATAATGTGGAAGGTGTCAAAGGAAGCATCTGTAGTGAATCTCAGCACTGTATCTAACCTCCATTGTGTTTGTAGATACCTTTCAGCCAGCAGCACACTGGAGGACTGGAATGAAAAATTAACACAATCAGAAGCGTGAGTGTCTTAACCTTCAGCGTTAGCAAATGCTTTCATGGCAGTCTGCTGTCACTAACGTTCTGTGCCCCTTCTCACAGTCCTCTGCTTTGACTAGGTCTACTTAAACATTACTCTTTTCTAGCTTTCACTGTTTTAACCCAATAAGCACCTTTTCTGGGAGAGGATGCTTTTCCTCAGTTCATTACTTGAATGATGTCATTTTGGTCCAAGTGATACTCTTCAGATGCCTGCCTGTGCTCAGGAGAACTGGCTGAAGCCACTGGGTAGCCGAGACCTGAGCACCACACATTGTGTCTTCAGCTGATAAGCCGTGGAATAGCCAGACTGACCTCTTCTTGTTACCCTTAACGCGCCCTGCAGGGAGCAAGAGCTTTTCTTTTTGCTGAGGTACCCGATGAGAACAAATAGAGCTGTAGTGTCCAAGGCAGCTGTTCTGTTATGTTCGGGCCCCAAATGGACTGGAACAGCTTAAACCTCACAGCTGTTGTATTCCATTTGTTGGCTGTGAAGGTCTCTTAGCTACGTTTTTATTAAATGCCTGCAATTAAATTCTCATCTGGGCTAAATTATGGAAGCATATCATGGAAGTTGACCTTTGTCCCGCTCGCTGCATCTTTCCCACAGCATATAGGGGAATCCTTTACAGATGCAGTGGGAGCAGGCAGGTACTGGTGGTGTTTCCTGAACTGATTGAAACCATGGTAAAGTAGGTCTTACCAGCTTTTCCTGCTGGTGAGTCCTTTGAGCTGGCTTGTTGCTGGCAGCGTGTATGAACAGGTGGTTTTCTTCATAAGATGGGTGAAAGGTGAGCAGAGATAAAAAGTAGGAGTATCAGAAAAAACTTCCAAGTATGCAGGTCTACTTTCAATGTTCTGTGTATGTTTTCTAGATTAAGAAGATGTAAATTGTCACTGTTTCACTTGCTAAATAGAGTGACCTTGATTATTATTTTTTTTTTTTGTGCTTGGTGACAGTGTGCCTGACTCCAGTGGTGTTTAATCAGAGTTCCTCCCTGGGCGTGCCTGCTGGAGTAGAAAACGTCTCGTTATATCTGTTTCCTTCTACATAAGCAGTGCCAGAATGTGGCGGAAGCATGCTTTTGTAGAGCACTTAAGGCCTGAATAGCTGTGGCACGCTAGTTTTCCTGCTTGCTTTGGCACTAGACAGAGTGACAATTCACGCTAGCAAGGTAGATGCTGATTAAAATGGAGAAGTGAGAGGGATTGAAAGGTAAGAGTACAGCAGTGTTTCAGAAAACAAACAGATTTTATACTTCCTTTGTCTAAAGCTCAGTAAATGCGAAGAGTGAAGTTCAAGAAATCCAGGGATGAGGGTTTATTCCTATGTTTCGGGGGTTTTATGCAAACGCATCCTCTTTCCTGTTTCAGAGCTTCTCTGCATTATAACTAACAAGCATCCTGACTGAACTGGGAATGCGCCAAATGCCTGACCTTATGGTGCTTTTGTGCAGTGCTGAATTTCCTGGTAGCTGCCATTCCTGGTCACAGGCTTGCCCTATGCAAGGAGTGCTTAGAGGGGACAGAAATCGGCCCAGTCTGGCCCTAGGTCTGTTTCCATTGTAACCAGGACTCACGATGACTTGGGTGGTTTGTGCACTTAGCCAGACAGCACAAATGGCAATTGCTGGTTAAAAGTAGGTGAGAGGAAGCTGGTATTAATGGACAAAGGGGGATTTGAGGGTGAAGGTCTGGCTTCTCCCTGTCAGGGTTTATAGGAGAGGGGTGCAAAGAAATGTTGGAATACCAGAGGATGAACACCACAGGGCAGAGATCATTTCTGCAGCTTCTGCTGCTGCCAGTTGCCTGTTAGTAGAGGAAGGTAGTAATCACAGCTCGTATTTATTACTTCCAGATTTGGATGATTCTATTGTGCTTTGTACTGGTGCTAAGGGAAGAAAATGAGTGATTGTGAATTTAAAGCTCTGGTAAACCCGGCCGTGTCTCTTGCAAGGAGAATAGTTGCAACTTCTAGGTCAGGGCTGGGCGTAGTTAAGTTGCATTAAAGTCTTGTATAACCTGATCCCTGGTTGTCACAGATGCAGCTCCACATGTGTGTCTGATGGCAGTTCTGGGTTAAAGAGCTGCTCATTTCAGCCGCACTCTCCTGGCTCTGCCTCCTGCGTTGCGGCAGTGGAGGTGTGTACGCGTGTGTGGGAGCTGTGGATGCGGGATTAGACTGGCGATCTGATCTGGCTGCTGCCGCCTTTTTTTGTTCTTTCAAATTTATACTTCAGCCAAATTGTTTTCTTGATCTAGACCACTCTGTAGATCACTCTCAGCACAAACAGTTGTGCTGGCATCATGAAGGAGCACACTCCGGCAGAAGGAGCAGCACTTGAGTGCTAGATCCTCAGTTTTCATAAGAATACTGCTCTCAAGTGTGGAAAAAACAGTTGGAAAATCTCTGGCCTGTATCTGCCGAAGCTAGACATAATACCTGGGAGGTTGCAGTGTGTGCATGACGTGATGGTGTCCTTTGAGTCTGTAAATCTCCTTCTCATCACTGCTCTGGTGCTCAGTGCTGATCAGAGTTGAGTGCCAAGCAGACGTGGAGTCAGCACAACATACTTGGAGCACGAGGTCTTCTGTGTTTGTTAGGCAGCTGTAAATCAAATCCCATGATAGGACTCGGTCAGCCGGGGAGGAGCCTGACTGCCGAAGGGAACTGAGATCCTCCTCTTCCAAAGCAACTTTGGCCCAAGGGTTCAGACACAGCTATTGCGGTAGGAAGGCACGTGTAAGAGCAAGCATTGATGCTGACCAATTCACGCCTAACTTGTCCTGAGATGACTATTTCTTGCAAAAGCTTGTGCTCTGGAAAAACAGGGTTGAGACCTTGCTGTTGGGGCACACTCAGGTTATTCTGGAGTCACTGAATTCAAGAGGAATTGCTCTGAAAAACGTGTAGGTTCTAGGAATTTTCTTCCAGGAGTAGGAAGAGAGAAGGTAAAGCTGATGCAGTTTTGCCCCGTTCTGCATAAGTCTCGTTTAAGTTCTTGATTCACAAATACTTGGCTGTGGTCTTAAACAAGAAACCGCAACAAACTAACACGTTGTAATTGGTGTTGCTTGAATCCAGGTGCTGTGTCCTGCACTTCTGTCCAGAGAGAATGAGGTGTAAATAAGTCAGCTCTCATGGCGGTGCTTGGGAGCATGCCTTGGGAGCTCAGGCATGAGAGACGACATTAAGCTGTTTATAATGCCCTTCTCCTGAATATCCCAGTTGGGGGGGAAAAAAAAATAAATCTCAAGCTGAAATATTTGGAATAAGAAAACTTGGCTTAAATTGTTGAACTTGTTTTCCAGCCTGAGTCTTTTTTTTATAATTTGAAGAATGCCATAAATCTAGTTGTTAATCACCAACTGTGGAATAGCTTAGAGGGTGAGTTAATGAAAGTGGCTCAAAGAATGTTTGTTCCTGAGATTAGTCTCATCTAAAGATTCTCAGGTGTCTGTCTTCTCCAGCTCTGGTATAAACTGAAATGTAATCAGCTGACAAATACAAGCGGTCAGACTTCTTTGTATTGTGGTTAATGGTAACTGATAGGAAACTTCTCTACCAATTTATTTCTAAACTGCAAGTTGTAGAGATAATGCTGATTCCTCCATTTCTTTTCTATCTGGTGATGTTAGTCTTGCCTCTTTCCTCTAACCAAATACTAAACAAACGCTGTAACTTCTTCAAGGCTGCAAGCATATTATGGAGTAGCTTCATAGACTTACTTTTTCAAGGAGCCCGAAAGGTAGTTGTAGAGCAAATAGGGTGCAATGCTATGGTGTTCCCACATGGAAAATTGGGGTGGCTTGGTTGTTGTGTGGCGGTTTTTTTTTTTTTCTCCAAATATTTGTCAGATTTAAGAACACGTGGTCAAAACAGTAAAGTGAGTGTACAGAAAGGTTAACCCTATGCTTGCTGCCTTCTTAAAACTTCCAGTCGTTGAACATATGCAAGGCTGGAAGGGGCTCTTTCAGTGAAGTCAGTGCAGCTCACTAACCTAGCTGCTTTCCTTTAATATGGGTTCCTTTCCAAAATGGGGGTGTGGGGGGTGCTTCTTGCTCTCAGTTGCTACCCATTAGTTCAATTTATGATGTTTTTTTCTATCTAGTTATAAGAAGACCCAAGAAACCCTTTCCCAGGCAGGACAGAAGACTTCAGCAGCCCTTTCCAATGAAGGTTCTGTTATCAGCAGGAAACTTGGTGACATGAGGTAAGATTTCTGTTTTGCGCTGTGGTGCTTTGATCTTGTTTTCAAACAGTAACGAGACTTCAGACAATAACTAGGCTTTTTTCCATTTTTCTGCTTAGTTGGCAGCACATTGCTGTTGATGGACTACCTTCTTCTGTGTAGCCCTGCCCATCATAGTTTAGGACAGATTAAACACTTGTTGATGTTAAAAACCTGTTCTAAGGCATTTAAGTTTGATTTGGCATAGGAGGCCTGACAGAACATTTTTAACAGCCTTCCCCTTTTACTGTCATATGGTTTCACTGCAGCTTTTACATCATATGTAAGAAACTAGCATTAAAGTTTACCTTTTCCATTTATTACTGGATTATAGAGGTGTGTTTTCTCAGTGTTACTGCTTAGGATTAGAAAGGGGTTATCACTCCTGTGCTCTGTTATGCTTTAAAATGGGTCAAAGTCTGGATGCTGTGTGTCAGGCAGTTTCATGCCCTGTGTGTCAGCTTTCCACGGGGAGGGGCAGTATGCCTTCCAGGCACAGTTATGCCCCGTTGATTGGAAGATAGGAATTGATTCAGAAGATCATGACAACATAAAAAACTACTTCTTGTGGTTGGGGGTTATCTAGATTCCTTAAGCAGATGACCACTGAAGTAATTGGCAAATTTAAACTGCTCTGAATTGGAAAGTGAAGGGCTGGTTCCCTCGGTTGCTGGCTGAAGTTCTTGCCCTCTGAGTTTCTCAGCTGTACAAAGTTCAAGGTTAGAATCGGTGATTTACCTCATCCTCAGAAATTTAAGCTAAAGATTGCTTCCCCATTAATAGTGACATCAAGTTTTTCATGCAGAATACCTTAACTGCGTGGGTTTTTTTATTTTTCTTGGAAATGGGAGCTAATTCTGAATATATAACATTGTCTAGGCTACTGAGGAAATGTTCTTAGAGCTCGTGTTGAACAGATCTTGGATTGAATGGGTAGCTGTTGTTATTTGTAGGGAATTTCCTATTCCACTGTGGCTGGGACTGTCCAAGTGGTAAGAACTTTTTGGCCTCTGACCACATAGCACTGACTTACTCTAGTTCTGTCCTCAGTGAGTTATTTACTGTGTTCCTGGAGGGTAATTTTTGGTGAATGTTTTCAATCGCTCACTTCTCTGAATTTGGCAGAGGACTAGCTGGTTTCCTACCCTTTCCAGTACTCAAGTTTTAACTTTTCTTTCCTGGAAACTACCTAGTCCACCGGAGGAAGAGATTTACATGTGATCACAGTAGATTACAGATACTGGCGCAAGATGTGACGGTAACATGTTACGCTAAACTGATAAGTGAAGTAAGTTTGGTGCCTGACTGCTGCAGTCTGGTCAGGCTGTTGCAGCGAAGGGATGGGAACTGGGTTTCTTGGAGCAAACGGGGAACTCCTCAACCAGTGTTGCCAACAGAAGAAGCCGTTTTGACAACAGGCAGGACCAAGCCTGTCTTTTTGGTTGGGAGAATCCAGTTCACCACGCAGCTGCAGAAATATTTGTGCCATCCCAGGAGCAGATGATGGCGGGGGGGATGCACGGCTGAGTGAAGAGTGTGCCTGTCACTTCTGGTGACACTGAGAGCTCCTCTGACACAGTCACAGTGAAAACTGGCTGTGGGTGCTGGCCTGGCTGACTATAAACAAATCAGACCTTTGCAGCCGTGGTATTGCTCAGCATTAATCGCCAATTTAAACATCTGCATTCCTTTTTATAGCTAATACCTTGTGTGATGTGTTGTGAAATAGAGGCAGCTTCTGTCTAATCACTTGGGAATCTCTGCCAAAGTTATTTCAGCAGGATTTGCTTTGTATATGTGGCCCTGTGGGGGAACACAGTAATGATTTTTTTTTTTTTAAGACTTTCAGTTTTTCCTCTGTGTGTATATAAACAGACTTCTGTCTCTTGTGCTGTGTTCAAGTCTTGATATTTCTGATTCTGAATAAGGCTTAACTCTGAGCATAAGTTCTGCAGGAATTGTCCCGCTTTCTGCCCTTGCCAGGTGAAACTGAGTGGTGTTCTGGTATGTGATCAGAGCTGACAAGGAGTGAAGTCTGTTGTATTGTTGTGATCACTTCTCTGAACGAGTGGGGATGATATCTGTTCCCAGAGGATCTGTTACAGGCCTCGTAGCCTACACTGCAACCTCTGTTACTGTACTTTTTCCTTCTTACACTACAAATTCACTTGTAAAGCAGGTTTATTTTCCATCACTGGAAGTGTTGAGATAACAGAAGGGATTTCCTTGTTTAGTCAGCCTTCACCGGTTGATAAATGCAAGGAAGGCGTGATGAATGGGACAAACGCCACTGATACATGGAGGGCGTAGTCGTAATTCCATTAAAAATGCTTGGACCAAAATGCTGTGAAATACAAATAATGTGTTCCTGGCTTAAATCTTTAGGGTCACTGTTTTCTGATCAAAATAACTTGAAATGTTAGAGCTGTGGATTGTAAGGAGACATTGTGAAGTTAATGCAGTAACACTGTGCTCACTGTATTAATGCTGTTGCTCTATTAGCTTGCCTTGAGGGGAGAAAACGTAGCTTAATTAGTGGGTGGAATTTTTCCAAATCTTGGCCAGTTCAGCTTTTTCTGTTATCTCCACTTACAGTTAAAAAGTAAATTGGCTTTTAGATGTTCTGTTCCTGCATTTTACTGACCCCAGTAAACTGCGAAATTGGAAGTGTTTTCTCTTTGTTGATAACAGCGTGCTTTGTGGTTTTATGTCCCCCAATACACTTCATGTTGTCCAATGAGGTTTGTGCTGTACGTAATACTACAAGCAAATTCATTATGAAACGTTAGCCCGAGCCCCAAAGGTGCCTGCAAATTCCAGAATTTACATAAACTTTAAATCCTTGTGAAAGGAGGAAAAGGGTCACTGCTGTGTCCAGGCCAAGATGCTGAACAAGTGTTTGTGGTATTGCTTACAGAGTAGCATGGTGCATGGACATGTGTTATCTCTGTTCTTCTCTTTTAAGCAAGAGTAAGTAGAAAGTTAATTTATTTTGCATGCAAAGACGGCATTTCAAGGAGTTTGCTCTGCCAAAGAGCTGACTTGGATGCATGGGGAAATGAAACCACAAAGCCTAACGTCTTTGCTCTGGCTGTAAAGAAAAGCCCTTGTACTCCTTTCCAAGTACTTCAGATCTAACTTGCCATGACTGCTTCCTGCTGCAGAGACAAAAATTATATTTAGTTGGAATAAAATGCTGCTTCTGGTGGGAGAAGCTCCTTTAGAGCACCCTAGTTATCTGACTAATAGAAGTAGGAAACCTCAGTCTGTTATTTCAGACTACGGAGATGCTCCTGCATCACAAAATCATGCGGGGAAATCTGGTAACCTGGTGGGGGATAGATTGCCTTGAAACCTAAAAGTGGGCAACCAGGTTGTGGGGCAAACATGATGCCTCTTATCCAGATATCCTTATCTTTATTATGCTGAGATGTGTTTGTTCTCTGAGCTGTAACTTTGAGGCTTGGCAAGATAACGTGCAGGTATCCATTGCAGGTTCCTGTTACAGAAGTTCTCAACAATAAGTTCTAGCAATGCTGTCTTTGTATGAAAACTCTTGGGGGGAAATGAGGGAAGGAGGTATCTTTTCCAAATTATCTAGCACTTGGTAAAATCCTCAGATTAGGAAAACGTGCTCTAAAAAAAAAAAAAATCACAGGAAAGCAATGGGTAGAGGTAGGTAAAATGTTGTGGGAGGTGGTTGTTGTTGCACACCCACTCCTTTCCCTCCTCAGCACCCTGGCTCTGAGTTGCTGTAGGTGCTGTTATTGTTCTCTGAAAAACGTCTTATCTTGGCTTGAGTTAATGAAAAGCATTTGATTTTTGCTTGCTTCTGCAACTTATTTTGAGAGGCTTCCTCCTGCGGAGTTGACTTTGCTGTCCCATGATGCGATGACCGCGTCCCCACTTAGCTGCCCCGCATTTAGTGTTTAGATCTGCACAAGTGTCTGATTGTTGCTTCCTTTTCTCTCTCTGCTGCCTGTGGCTCCTCCCAGGGCTCACCCCTTCTCCAGTTCCTTTAGGTAAGATATTCTTCAAGGCTGCTACAAGAGAGATGTTTCTATGCCAGGCCCCTGTAAAGGGGAAGCTGATTATTTAACCCGTGCCTACACTTTTGACGCAGATTGAGAAACCCACTGCAAACCAATGCACTGTCATTGACTTTTCTATCACAGTTGCAGTTTGCACTTAAATACTTGTGCTTACTGTCCTACATCTGGAAAACTAAGTTGTGGGCTGCAGCTGTTAAAAA